CTTGATTTTGAATATAATACTTTGACTATTAATATTGATATTTATACATACATGTATATTTTAAAATTTCAATATTTCAAAACTACATTCCATAAGGAAATTATTGATATTACATTTATATGAACATACAATGTTCTTTTTTTTTTTTGATAATTGAGGTCAAAGTTAATTCATAAATTTTGATCTGAAAAAATCAAAGGGGAAGATTAAATCCGGACGGTGGAGAAATTCTTACTACCTTCTTCCTAGTGCATTCATTCGGTTTGATAACTTTTGGACTTCATTTAAATAAAATTTGTAATGTACTCCGTAATTTTGTACAAAAAAAATTATTTAGGTTTATCTTTTTGAGAAATTTCAAAATTTGATTTTATTGTATTAATATGTAAAATAAATTTAATTTAGAGTAATTGATAATTAATTCATTTAGTTTGACTAGAAAAAATCAAACTGATGAGCGAATATACACAAACTACCAATTAGAACAATAATTGTTAAGTGCCATTCAACAGGGATGCCCTAAACAAGAGAATTGGATAACAAGATCTGAAAGACTATCTTTGAATATTAAAAAAATTAATGGTCTATATTGTATCTATTTTTTAAAAAAATGAAAAAAATTAACAATGCACATATAGATGTACAATGGGAGAATAATGATAATTTATTTTCATAATCTAGACTTTCTTGTGGAATTTCAGTATGTAGACAAATGTTTGGTCTTGTTGGGCAATTTTGATTTTCTACATCTCCCTTTGAAATTAAATATGGCAAAGTATATAAGAGTGAGATTATATTATATTTTGGGTGGAGTCGACAACTTTGAAAATATTATGCTTTTTCTTGACTTTAAACTCTCAAATGGCGGATTGTCAAAAAATTTAAAATAAAAATGATGGTGGGAGCAACTTAATGTGAATGAGAATTTGGACGGCGGTCTTGAAAATTAATGTACATTAATTTTCAAAACGGTCGTCCAAGATCACTTTCACCTTAATGTACATTATGTTTAAGAAAAATTTTACCGAGTTATAAAAAATTTAAAAATAAAAATATTCGAAAAAAATATAAAATCTACTTTGAAATGCTTGGATAAGAAAAAGGTAAAGATCATGTTTGACAATAATTACAATGTTTAGTTCTAACATTTTGAAAGAAAACTTCACCCGTTCCAATTTTGATTACAATTTTTTTCTCCTCTCGATAATTTTTATTTAGTTGTGTATTTTCATTAATTATTTGAGAAATAAAGTATTTTTGTCACATCTTTTTTGTAAAACTATTGACATCGTCTTTAATATGTATTTTTTATTTTTTATTGATATATCAATAAAAAAATAAAATGATTTCAAAAGTCATGAAATTTTATCTCGTAATTCTTAATTTGTAATCAAAATTGAGACGAAGGCAATATTTGATAATAACATTTAGTTTTGTAGTTTTCAATATAAATTTATACTATAAAAATATCATTCCAAATATCAAATTTATTTTAAAATATTTCTTTTGTAGAGATACATGGAGTATTTTTCAGCCAGAAGTTTATGCATTCTCATCATTTTGCTTTCAAGAGGTACGCCATTATATGACAACATTTTTTTGCTAAGGGGTGTGACATGACTATGTATGTGTCTTTTGATTCTTGATGTACTTTTTAAATACCGTTCCAAAAATAAGGTTCACAATTTGTCTTGACACAGTTTAAAGAAAGTGAAAATATATGGTTGAGAGTGATGTAGAAGAGAGAGAAAATTTGTGAGTCACTCAAACTTTTCATAAAAGAAAAGATGAAGCTTTTTTTGAGACGTCTCAAAAAGGAAATAAGGAGTCTTTTTTTGGAACAGAAGAAATATGTAAGTTTTATTTTTTATTTACATAGTAATCGTTAAATAAAATGAATTGAAAAAATTTAAAATTTTACTTCGCTTTGCGTAAAGAATAAATAATTTAGGGACAAAGGGATTAGAAAAGAAAGATGACACCCCATCCCCTCTGGCCCCTCATGCACATGTACAAAATACTTGAAAAAAATAATAAACCTCATCCCCGAGGACCCCTTAGACCTGACCGGACAGTCACTAAAAAAATATAAATGGGACTTTAATCACAGATTAGTGATAAAGAGTGAAGCTTGCACCTGGTATATGGTACTTACAGAGGTCCTATGTTTACCATAGTTGCCTCCCTATTCAGTTTTCTAGAAGTTAAACTCAGATCTTACCTCCCTTGCACTCCTTACCTTGCCAATTGCACAACGCCCACTGGGTCTCACCTGTACAAAATGTTTGATATGAGGTAAATGATGTACTACCTCCGTCCCAGAGTATTTGTCCACTTTCATTTTTACACACCATCCAATACACTTCTTTAATCTATTTTATCTTGTAATTTGTATATTAAAAAATTATAGAAATTATATATTAATAATCTATATGTTAAGACAAATCAAACAAGATCACACATGACTATATTTAGGCTTAGACATTGAGAGAATTTGATGAGTCAAAGTGCTTAGATGAACAGTTCCAAAAGTCAAAACTGGACGAATACTCCGGGATGGAGGGAGTACTATTTTTCTAGCTCACATGGATCGAGAAACTGATGAGGGAAATTAATCGCATCTAGCCCCTAACTATGGTGCCTACATCACTTCATTAGATTGGATTCTCACTTTTCAGTCGGACCAGTCTCCCAACTCCCTCTAAACCCCTTGCACCCCTTACCTTCTCTCACCCTTTGTATCGCAGATTTGCTACAGTGATCATTGTAGCAAATCGACGATATGTTAGAGAGGAGAGTTTGGAGGTAGAATCTTTAATTATTTAAATCGAATAGAACACTGTAGGAATCCCGAAGTAATTCTATAATATTGATTTCAATGTCATCTGGAACCGCGACTAAAGTTAGAAAGTACCATACAAAGTTAAAGACTGATTTTACACTCAAAGAATAGGGGGGGACAGTTGAAAACCTCTTTGCGAAAATATTCAATTACAAACTTTTATTCTATAGGAAGTCAATTTTTTATACAGTAAAGTAAGAAATAGTAATTAGTAACTTTAAATTTATAGGTCGTTTGGTGCTACACATTTGACTAGTATTACATGCAAGGCCGGACTATGAAATTAGTTACTCCATCCCGTCTTAAAAATATTTTCTATTTTGACTTTTTTAATCAAACATTGACCATCTTTGATTTTTTTTTTGATAAAAAAGGAGGGGATACCCCAATTGACAGTCTTTGATTATAACAACAACAACAACATCCCAGTTGAATCCCACTACAGTAGGGTCTGAGGAGGGTGTGTGTACGCAGACTTTGCCCCTACTCGGAAGTAGGGAAGCTGTTTTCAAGAGACCCCCGGCTCAACCTGCACAAAGTTATGGAAGGGAACACAGTATAGTACGGGTAAAGCACCAAGTACAAGCAACAAGTACAAGCAATAGCAAAAGATTCCAAACAAACACAACACACTACAAACAACCTGTACAGCACCGAGCTCCTATCCAGCTACACTAATCCTAGTTCTCCAAAGGTTCCTATCTAAGGCCATATCCTCAGTCAGGGTGAGAAGTCCTAAATCTTGCCTAATCACCTTCTTCCAATTCTTCCTAGGTCTACCCATTCCCCTACTTCCCCCGATAATCGTAATCCTCTCGCATCTCCGTACAGGGCCTTAGCATCCCGCCGTCTCACATGGCCAAACCATCTCAACCTCGCTTCCCGCAACTTATCTTCCACCGGCGCCATGCCTACCTGATGTCGGATAACTTCGTTCGAAATCCTATCCAACATTGTCTTTCCACACATCCATCTTAACATCCGCATCTCCGCCACATGCAGACGACGCACATGAGTTTTCTTAACCGTCCAACACTCTGCACCATATAACATAGCTAGTCTGACTATGGATCGATAGAACTTACCTTTCATCCTGGGCGAGATCTTCGGATCACACAACACCCCAGAAGCTAACCGCCATTTTGACCAAGCCACTCCAACACGGTGTCCAACATCCCCATCTAACTCCCCATCAGCCTGGATCACCGAGCCAAGATATCGAAACCAGTCTTTGATTTTAAATGGAATATAATCTAAATAAATAAATGACATAAAATTTGATATAGTAAAACTATATCCTAAAATGAATCCAACTATAAAATTTATTTTATAATTAAATATACTTTTCTCCCAATTTAGAGTCAAAGAGTGTCACTTTACGGACAAAAAAAGTCAAAACAAGAAAAGTTTTTAGGTCCGAAGAGATTACATGTTTTCATTTGAAGAATTGTTACATGTAGCTAGATGTTTGTTTAATTTATCTTTTTTCCTTTTAGGCTCCGTTTAATACGCAAAATTTAAACTATGGAATTAGAATTGGAAACAACAATTCTAATTTTGCTGTTTGGTAGCACAAAAATATGTGAATTTGAAATTGGCAATGCCAAAAATGAGTTGGAATGGGAGAACTCAATTCCATTGAATTTCAACTTCTAATTCAATTCTAATTTTATAAATTCCGTGTACTAAACGCATCCTTAGTTTTCATCTAATTATTTGATTTTATTAACCTCTACCTTCTAGGGAGAGGTATGTCAAATTTGTATCCCAACTTGTACGCCAAGTGTATTCGAACACACAAGACTTGTCTGTAAATCTCACATACAATTGTTGTTTGTGTGAGCGGGAATACAAATTTGGTGTATCATTGCACTCCCCATGAAAAAAAAGTCAATCTCACACACGCCCATTAGCAAAGGTGTGATGCCAAATTGCCAATTGCCAAACGAGCCCTAAATGTAGGAAACAAACAACCAAGCAAATCTAAAAATACAAATGCCCAAGTAAAACACCTGAAATTAACTTTCCCCAAAACTTAAGCTCCACAAAGTGTCCACAAATAGAACTAAAGGTCAGCCTTGAACCCTACAAGGTAATATGCATAACTTTTTTTTACAAAGGTCAGATACAGCTTACCCTACACAACACAAGTCGATACCTTAATACCTAACATCATCTTAGACATAAATATGATAAACAAGATTCAAACCGAGCCCGGTGAAACCGGTCCGAGGTAATCTCCCTCCAAGCTCACGACAGCCTGGAACTCCTTCTCGGCCTCCACGTACTTCTCCCCGATCACAATGAACCGGACCACGGTTTCCTTCTCGATCTTCGACATCTTGTCGCTCATGAAGATGGGGTTTTCTCCGGGGACGTAACGGTAATCAGACATCTTCTGGTGGGAGAGGTAGATGTGCTCGATGGGCCCACACCTCAGGAAAACGCCGTGTTTGAGGATCTTGTGCACAGCACCTTCTAGAATCTCCCCGCGGAAGATCTTGAACGAGAGGCAGTTGAACTCGACAGGGAACAGCACGTCTCCTTTGTTCTCTCTGATCTTGCCTTCTCCAATCTTGTTCATTGTTGTCACTGCCAGGAAGTAGCCCAGGGCTTTCGTGGCCTTCTTCAAAGCAAAATCATCCAATAGACGAACAATGATTGCCTTTTGGAGCATCAATCCTTTGGCATCCAGATGCTCGGCTGGGATCACGACGTTCCATGACATACTTGACTTGAGATACATTTTCTTTTTAACTTGTGACCTGGGAAAAAAAATCAGTCTATTAATCAACAGTTCATCCATAAAGGCAAATGAGAAGACATTAAAACTCAATAGAACAAAGGGTAAATTACATTGTTGAAGAACAAGTTGGAGTCCTTAATCAGTCTACATTTAGTGAATCAACCAAATATACAACAAACAACAACATTACTACAGTGCCTCAACCGCTCCCACCCATTGCGGGGTGGGGGGGGGGTCGGTTGTGTGTAGTCTGACCCCTATGTTTAAAACATAGTGGCTATTTCCAAATGACCCATGATTAGCATCAAAAGTTGCATTGACTAAGTGCTACTTCACAATTGCAAGTAGCGTGCACATAGTTTAAAGAGCCAATTTGCATTATTCCATCATACCCCAAAGAGCCAAGTTGCATTAGAACCAAATATACATGAGAACTAAATTGGGTTGGAGCTAAATTGTACTCCCAAAAAAGAGTATTATTAAGAGGACCAAATTAAGTAGCACCAACACCAACAACACCAAACCCAGTTAAATCTTACAAAAATAGGATTTGGATTGTATGTACACATACCTTACTCTTACTCAAAAGTAGAGAGACTAATTTCAAGTGACAAAAAAATTATGCACCAAATTGAATAATATTGTTTAGATAGTCGAGGCTCAAGGGACTATACTCGTAGTAGAGCACACAAGTATATGAATCCATAATGATAACATGAATTAACATCTACTGTATACTATAATACGAGATGCATGATCACAAACAAATTTTTCTCACACAAACAAATTTGAGGATGGAGTACACAAATAACCTCAAATTCACAACCATATGTAATTTAATGAAAACACCTTTGGGAGTGCGCAAATGGGTCTATGAAATCAACAAACTGCCGAACGGAACGGTTAAACATTACAGAGCTCAACTTGTTAGTTTACAACATTTTCTTGATGGTGATCTTCAAAAGGGTATATAAGAAACTTCCCCAGGGATTTTCAATGTACTCTAAAACTTGGATTTTTATTTGTAAATCTTCCTTAGAGGAGGATGAAAACAGCTTTTATTTCTCTATAATTTGAAATTTTGAATTGAAAATGTTCATTTTTTCAAACTAGCAAACCAAAATCTCTGCAACAACAAAACAAACTTTGGCCAAAACTGACAAAAATGAAGAATTTTGAATGTTCTCTGATAGATGTTACTAATATTTCAAAAACAGACAAACACATCCTAAAACCAAAAAAAGTATTACAAACTCACACACGCAAATCAATATGAAAGAAATGAAGAAATCGAAATACGAAGAAAAACAACAAAGAAGAGAACAAATTAAATAGGGCTATATATTGATTTGGAGTATGTACGATACTTTACAAGGTACAACCTAAAATTTTGGGTCAAGATGCAACCCAAATTTTACTTCAAGCTCCATAACCTAACAAAGCCTTAATGATTCTGTTACCCCTTTCTAAAACTCTTCAAATGTAAGGAAATGAGGTTAAAATAACAACAAAAACTTGAATTAAGAATGCATTTTTTTAAAAAAAATTCTGTCATTTTTGTGTGTGAAATTTCACAATCATTTGTCAACTAATAGCCTATAATTAGTAAGTGGACAATCAAATTCGAAGATAATATATAACATAATCAATAAGATTATGATCTCAAGACTGAGAAATGTGAAATTAAGATCTGAAGAGTATGGTTTCAGATTTAGAATTTCTAACATGTAAATATTCATCAATGACAGGAAACACCAACTGACTAATCGTGTAATGAAAACTAAGACTTAATATCTGAGAAAATATAGATAATACTTCGTATTAGAAGTAATGATAGAATGAATTCACAGCTCAAATATTCATCTTATTGAATACATCTCTAATGATGTCTATAAATATTACAAAGTTACTAATGGAGACAATCAAGGAAAGTGAGTGGAAGTTAATCAAATATCTTGATTGGTAATTTGATTCCAATCAAGGATATCATCAAGATATTACACTATTCCACACTATTCTTCTTTTTGTTTGATATTTCTAACACTCCCCCTCAAGTTGAATCATCCGTTTCGGATGTTTAACTTGCTTAATGTTGCTTGAAAGACTCCAGCTGGCACTGCTTTTGTGAGAATGTCTGTCAATTGATCTTCAGATCGGACATATGGAAGACTAATGATATCTGCCTCGAGTTTCTCTTTGATGAAGTGACGATCAATCTCGATGTGCTTGGTACGATCATGTTGTACTGGATTCTCTGATATACGAATAGCAGCAGTATTATCGCACATCAGTCTACATTTACCCTTCGGCGGATACCCCAAATCTTTAAGGAGTTTTCTTAGCCAAAGAACTTCAGTAATTCCTCGAGCGATCCCTCTGAATTCTGCTTCTGCACTTGATAGAGCAACTACCTTTTGTTT